CACACACACACACACACACACACACACACACACACACACACACACACCCCTACCCCATCTGGTCCTGAGATGAGTAAAGCCAAACCAAGAATCCATTCATTGGGCTTCCCTGGTGGCGCAGTGGTTGACAGTCCGTCTGCCGATGCAGAGGACACGGGTTCGTGCCCCGGTCCAGGAGGATCCCACATGCTGCGGAGAGGCTTGGCCCGTGAGCCATGGCCGCTGAGCCTGTGCGTCCGGAGCCTGTGCTCCGCAACGGGACAGGCCACAACAGTGAGGGGCCCACGTACCGCAAAAAAAAAAAAAAAAAGAATCCATTCATTCACCCCTCCACCTAACTCACAAGCATCCCCACTCTTGCCAAATCTCCTGAGAGCTACTTTCCAGTCACAGTGATCAAGAGCAGAGCAGATCTGAACTGAAGGGTTTAGGGTAACACCCCCCCCCCCCCACTCCCAGCCTGTCTTCCCACTGGGCACTGCCTTCTTAGTCCCGTGCTCTTCAGGCCTCAAAGCTCTTAGCAGAATTCCTGCCTCCCAGACCTGGAGTAAAGGGAGAAAAAGCTCATGGGAAACTTCTAGAGGGCCAGACACTTCGAATATATCAGCCATCCAGCCTGCTCTCTGTTCCCATACAGGCTTTGCTCGGGCCACTGGGGCAGGAGGCATAAAGCAGAAAGGATTAAAACCCGGACCTTGGCAACAACTATGCCTGGGTTCAAAGTACCCCCATTTTTCATCTGTCAACCAAAATAATCATATCTACTTCAGAATGTTGTTGTGAAGACAATGCATAGTAACTGTTCAGCCCATAATAAGTTGGTAGTTATTATCATTTTCTTACCCTCTCAGCCTCAGGGATGTGCTTCCCAACTTTACCACTGATACTTCAAGATGTAATACAAACAGCAGCTCCCCCAATCCCTAACCAGGTGAATTCCGTTAAGTAGAGCCAGCACTGATTGAGCATCTTCCATATGCTGAGCACTAATGGCAGGGACTGAGGACACAAAAATGAATAAGACATGCCCCTGAACTGCAGGAGTTCACAGCCTCAAGGAAGACAGGAAAGAAACAGCTTACTTCAATGCCACACGGCAAGTGCAGTGACAGAGCATGCTGCCAGAGGGAGCAGGGGAAGCCAGGCAGATCACAGGGGACTGTGGGGGCCAGGGCAAGGAGTCAGAACTGAATTCTAAAGGCAGGGAGAAGCCACTGAAAAGCTTTAAGCAGAGGAGGCAAATGCACAGACTTATGCTTTAAAAAGGGATCACAGGAAAGAAGTTGTGATGTGAGGAAAGAAGTTAGGAAGGTATGAACAATTCAATTAAGAAGTAATACCTTGGACAAGACAGTGCAAGGGAGACAAAGGGATAGATTTCAAAGATGTCTAGATAATGAACAGCAAAGGCCATGACATTGAACACTGTCTAATCCCTCAGTGTTCAGAGATTGAGGGAGAGGGAGAGGGAGATGGAGAGGAAGGTGACGCATAGGCCTTTACATCCATCATTTTAAAAATCAACTCTCGGGACTTCCCTGGCTGTCCAGTGGTTAAGACTCCCCGCTTCCACTGCAGGGGGCATGGGTTCAATTCCTGGTCAGGGAACTAAGATCCTGCATGCCGCACGGTGTGGCCAAAATAAATAAATGAAAGTTTTTTAAATAAAAATCAACTGTCTCTTAAGGCACTCATAGCAATTTAGCTTGCACTAACATTTACTGACCCCTTGACTGCCAGACACTGCCTTAGGTACTTGGAGGGTTCCAGTGGCAAATCAGCTGAGAGAGAAGTATCAGCAAAGACCAGCATAGGGAAAAGACACAAGCACAGAGCCTCGGGAATGGTGACCTTCATCTAGAAGGTGGGGTAGAAGGAGTAAGATGCAGGGGACCAGGCTCGAAACTCAGGCTGGGTCAGACTGTGCAGGGCCTAGCCTAAGGAGTTTGAACTCTGAGTGGTGGACACGGGGAGCCATTGAAGGTTTTAAACAGAAAGAGGATCACAGCTGAGCCTTATCAGATTCCTCTCACAGAGATGAAACAAGCGCTCTCTTTTTGGAATCCCTGGAGACAAGAGCCTCACGTTTTCCATCTGGTAACCCTTTTCATGCCTAACACAGTACCCATTATTTAGGAAGTAGTCCACAAATACATGTTAGGGCCATCAACACTCATGCACAGTCTTGCAAACCCAAAGAAAACGCATTGCCAGTATGATGCGCGACTGGTCAAGCTAAATAAATTTTTTAAATAAAGTAAATAAATCAAGGTTCTCTAAGGGTCCTTGACCACATTCAAAACTTGGCCACCGGCCTTTTCATTCAGGAGCAAACAGCTCTGGGCAAGATCTGAAATATCTCTGAGGAGCTATTCCGGACCTCTAGTCACTCGTTTCTAAGCAGATTGAATACTTCAGGGGCTGGATATAAGGAGCTCAGTACAGGATGGAGGATACAGCTCTGGGCCTGCCAGGGCGAAGGGGAGCGGTACCTTTTGCTGAGCACTTGCCACTTGCCAGCCACCATGCTGCATTTTTCGTGTGTACCCATGTACATGAAGAGGGGGTAACTAGCCAGTCTGGATTCCCCCACCAACCCTGAACCCCATCTGCCTCACTAGCCTCTGCCCTTTGGCTCAGGCCTCCCGAGTGTTGGACCTTGCTCTCTTGCTACTGTGTGAGGCTATGAGTTGATTCTCTCTCCTTCTGGGGGGCTCATTCCCCCCTGTTATAATGCCAGAAAACCCTCCTACCCCTCTCTATAAAGATGAGAGAAATCCAAGGGACAGTAAAAACCTCATGGTTGAGTGATCATTACAGAGCAAAGACCCTGGGTGCAAGTAGCCTCCTGACAAATGCCTAAGTATGGTTGGTTGGTTGGCTTTTAAGGGGCAGCCACTTCAATTCCATACCTGCATTGAATGTTTACTAAAGCTAATGATCAGCAGGGAGAGGATAAAGAAAGAAAAACCAAAACCTGCAGACATCACAGAATCCAGAAATCTATTTGGCTTCAGCATATATGAGTTTTTCAGAAATAGAATTACCTTCTTACATTGGTTTGATTCAATATTAACGGGAGTTCATATTATCTGAGTCCTCACTCTGTTCATGGAAAACCTCCATGGGTGGGACGGGGTGGGAAGAGGAGTGTCCAGGATTCAAAATCCACTACAAATACCAAAGAAGATTTTTTGCGCACAGATGGTTAGGAATTGGCTGTAACATTTTCTCGATTAAGCTGGCATACCAAAATAAACTTCTGAGATCATTACTTTTAAAATAGTGCACTGTAATGTTTCCATTCAGCTTCCTGCCTGGTGACCTTTGCTCATGACCCCCACACCGCCCAGGCCTACCTGCTGGGCTGCCTCATGGAAGAGTTCCTGCACTTGAGACATCTGGGCCATTCTCCGGAAATGGGGGTCCAGGGAGTCTGGGTGGGGAGACCCCTCTGGAAGGTAAACAGGATTCTGGGTCAGGCTGGCTCCTCCTTCCCTGGATCCTTACGGCCCATCCTTCCTCTATACCAGATAAGGCCCTGGCTGAGGGAGGGACCTTGTTCTGCCTCATCTGGAAACATCTCCTTCCCTCTTTGGTACCCAGATAGATCCCACTCATTCTTCAGAGCCTCCCTGTGCTCAAATGTTGCTGTTCTTTGAAAGCCACAGCTGCCTGCAGCTCTCTGTTTCTCCCTGAGCTCCTTCAGTACGGGGGTCAGAACCAACTGCCCAGCTGCCCAGCCCTTGAGGACAGTTTTACACTCCTCTCCATCCTTGTGAACCCCTTTGTCCAGGGCAAGGGCACCATCGGCTCACTAGGGCCAGTTGCAGGTGGTGAAAGACTTACCGAGACCCGCTCCGGAGCCGCAGCACCGACCCTTCGCGTCTGAGTCAGCGCTGGGACCCGCGTCCCTCAGGCACCCCTACTTACGGGAACCCCATACAGCGCAGCGCACGCCCCCTCCAGCCTCGGCCCCGCCCTTACCGAGTTCTCAGGAACCCCTGGGGTCGGCGGGAGGCTCGTGTGCCAGTGGCCGTGTGTAGACGCGCCAGGGGACGGCGAGGGGGTCTACCTGAGCAGGCGGGCAAAGGTGACCCAAGCCGGCCCCCTGACTACAGGACAGAGCTCCCCGGGGAGAGGAGCCGCCCCGAGACCACCCTACACACTGCCCACCCACCAGCCGCGCGGCGTCCGCCCTCACCGGTTCCCGGGACGCCCGCTCCTAGCGCTGGGCCCGCCCAGTCCCCGCCCCGCCGCCACGTGGCTAACCAGGTGTGCGCGGCGCGGGTCCCAGCTGTCTCGCTGACGAGGCATGCCGCCCGGGCTCGAGCACCTGGGCCACGACTCTCCGGTCCAGGTGGAGAAGGACGGGGCTGCAGACACTTCCCCTCCCCAAGGGTGGTGCCTGAGCACCCGCCGCCGCCCAGGAGGGCTCCCAGAAGAAGGGAACAGCAATCTTAACACGGGTGGGGAGGGACTGGGCGGGGGGGGGTGAGGGTGTGGGGGTGGACTAGGGGGAGGGTCCGCATGCTCTCAAACGTAACAGCCACTGCCTCCACCCCCTCGACAGCTCGCTCACCGCACCCCCGCTGAGGTGCCCAGCCCTGGGATTAGGGGGACAGGACGCGAGCCTACTCACTGCAGTTGCTTCTAAGGACCTGCGCGTTACACAGCACGCAGGAGTGAGAAAAGCTGGGGAGCGGGGGAGCCCGCGGCTCCCACTGGTCCGCAGCCCCCTGGACAGGTGCAGAAGCGTCTGAACAAGAGACCGTGACTGCGCTCCGGGGTTGCCAAAGTGCAGCGGCCACGCGACCAGGTGACCCTCAGACTCGCAGGAAGTGGAATTCTTTTGCCAAGAAGGTGCCCTCGGGCATGCTGAGGTGTGGGGAGGAATTACCCTCGTCACCTTCAGCAATTCCCAGAACCGGCTTGGAGGGGCGGGGAGTGAAGTAAGGTTTCCAGGGTCCCCGGCTTGCAGGGATAAAAAGAAATTAACATACAGAGAGATTAAATTATCGCTATTTCCAATCTGGCATATTTCCTAAGCCTGAAATAACTTGCTAGGCCTCCATCTGGGCTTCTGAGAAACAGAAGGGCAGCTGGGAGTACTTCCCACGCCCACATGAGCCTTTGTGTGAAAATCCCTAAAAATAGAGGTTGTTCTTTTAAAAACAAAAGGGAAGGCAAAGCCATGGGAACAGTGACAGAGCCCCAACCTCTCCTGCTCCAGCAAAGGGTTTTTTGTTTTTTGTGGGGTTTTTGGTGTGGAAATATATATAACATAAAATGTGCCATTTAAGCCATTTTTAAGTGTACAATTCAGTAGCGTTATTTATATTCACCATTTGGTGCAGCCATAACTGCTCTTTCCAAAACTTTTTCATCACCCCAAACTGTACCTCTGTCCCCGCACCCCTCTACTCCCAGACAGTGGTAACCTCTAATCTATTTTCTGTCTCTATAAATTTGCTTCTTCAAGCCTATTTCACATAAGTGAAATCAGACAGTATTTGTCCTTTGTAAGTCTGGATTATTTCACTTAGCATCATGTCCTCAAAGTTCATCCATGTTGTGGCATGTGTCAAAACTTCATTCCCAGCAAAGAAGTTTTTAATAACCCATCTCTGTAAGAGGAAAGAACCCCAGGATAAATTGGAGATTAGCCACCTGTGAACAAAGCATGGCTAGGTGGGCATATTACTGGAATCCACTACGTGTCCATGTATTACATCTGTACAGAGAGTAGTAGTGCCATCTTTATTATTCACTTTGGGGTCACACATGACACTTTGTTGTTTTGCCTCAAGCTGGTTTCCAGTTTGCCGTCACCTTCTGATGAGCCTCTTTCAAAGTGTCAATGTGAACTTTGAAGAATCCACATTCAATTCCATATCAGCCTGAGCTAAAAACATTAAAAAAGGAAATCAACCCCTCTGTTCATAACCACCTACTTCCTGTCACTCATCACTTTCTAAACAAATGAAAAGTTCCCTTTGAAACTTATGAGCATCTTCTACACCTAAGAACAAATATTTGTTTCTTTGCTTCATGTTAAGGCTAGAGAAGCCTGGCCATTTGCAAAGAAAAAAAGTGTACCCTGCTTAATGTAGATGTATAAAAATGATACTAACTGTAAACAAACAAAAAACCACTCTTATTGTATCAAAAAATAGCATACTGCATAACCTTTGAACAGAACAATTCCATTTTTAAGATACTACCCTACATGACCTAGTACAAAGATGTTCACTGCATCATTACTTTGTAATAGTTTTTTAAAATTGTAACATCCTAACTGTCTACTAATAGAAGACTGATTACATAAGTTATGGTACAGCCATACTATGACAACCAGCACTAGAAAGAATTAGGTGTTTTTATATGCACTAACATGAAACTTTTTTCATCACATAATAATGAGTAAAAACAGCATGTTGTAGAATAATGTTCTTTTTAAAAAAGTGCATATATGTATATAGTTTGGAAAAATACACATCAATTTGTTAATAGTGGGGAGGGGGATTGAGATAGTGAGTAAAATGGGAGAGGAAATCTAGTTTAATGTACAAATTCTTGATTTTTATTGAATTTTTCTTCTTACAATGAGCACATGTTATTTTAGGAATCCGAAAAAAAATGAGTAAGAAAATTAAGACAAGCAATGTAGGGCAGATTGCATTTTCCAAAGATAACTGCACTAACATATTCCATCCCATATGCTCTTCTTGCAATACGACATTGACATTCCTTCAAAAAGAGATGGGAGTCTATGTTCCCTCCCCTTGAGCCAGAACGCATCTTTGTGAGTGCCTCAACCAATAGGAGAAATGGAAGAAATGACACTGTTTGACTTCCTAGGTTAGGTCATAAAGGCAGTGGGGAGTCCATCTGGCTTCCTTGCTCTCGGAGCACTGACCCTTGGAATTCAGCCACCATGTTGTGAGGAAGCCCAGGCCACATGGGGAAGCCACATGTTCCACCAGTAGCCAGCATCAGCTGCCAGACATGTGAGTGAAACAAGCCTTCAGATAATGATTCAAGTCCCCAACCTTAGATTCTTCCAGCTGAGGTCCCAGACACTGCAGGGCAAAGACAAGCTGCCCTTGCTGGTATCTGTCTGAATTCCTGACCACAGAACCATGAGAGATAATAAATTATTGTCGTTTTAAGCCACTAAGTTTTGGGGTAATCTGTTATTCAGCAACAGATAGCAAATACATAGTGCATCTAACCAAGGTAAAAAATATTTTGTTTCCTTTCATAGTATTTTTAGTCATTTCAAATCGTTCAAAGTTACTGTTATTGCAGTACCATTATATTAAAAAAATCATAATGTTGTTCTTAAACTCACGTCTTTTTTTCTATTCAGGAACCACTCCAGCTAGAGTTGAAGCCCACAATAGTGAGGTTGTTGCTCTGTGTGTCTTACCCTGCTCAGCTGCAGACAGAAGATCCTTCATTGCATTCCTTTCCAGTGGTTGGTGCTGGGAACTGCCTTCTGTGTGAAAACTGGAGAAGAGACCATGTCTTGAAAAATGATCTCATTTGTCAGAAAGTCTGAACCCTGGGGAGGGATCAGAGTGTGGACAAAGTCCAAGAAACAGAAATGTGAAAACAGTTTGAAAACATTAGATCAGAATGTAAATATGTATAATTACAAAAACATATTTCACCGCCTATGCCTTAGAACCAGAGTCAGAAGGGCCACAAAGAGTGGGTCAGCTAGTCTGGTGGTCTTCTCCTAGGCTGTACTTTACCATCACCTGGTGTAGTTTAAGAAAATACCCGAGTCTGGGGTGGGGCCTGGGCATCAGTATTTTCTTTACACTCCTCAGGTGATTCTAAGGTACAGCCAAGGTTGAAGACTGTGGAATTTCTAGCTCAATCTTTTTTTTTTGTTTCTTTTTTTTCCCCTTCTTTAAGATACCTGAGAGAGAGCATACATCCTGTCCACATTGGTGTCTTTCTTCAGTTATAATCTTCAAGGACAAGGAAAAAGCATGAAATATATCACCCAGAGAACACAGGTAATATAAAATACATATATTTTTTTCTTTTTAGTTGGTCATTATGATGCACCTCCCTGGGGCATGCCTGACTTCTAAAAAATCACAGATATTCTGCACACACTCAGAAAAGTTTGCTGGCTCTGAGGAATCAGGATTTGAACCTAAACTAGGTTTAGTTCCAATACCAGCCTCTCTCCTGTACACAATACAACTTCTCTAAACCAGGTGAAGAGATGAGGCAGAAAAAGATTTTCCTTCTTCCTGGACTTTAAAATGAGGTGGAAGGGGGTGAATCAGGAGATGCAAACCTGATGGAGGTACCAGCCCCTCACACAGCCTGAGAGCTCTCCATTCCCAGAAAGGGGTGGACAGGACCCCTGGAAGACAAGCCTTGCTCTGGCTTCCCTGATTGGGCTGAGTGGGGAGGGAGGGGCCGA